CTGGCATGTGGTGCTGGGGGACTGAACCGTGGTCCCTGTGCTTTGCCAAGCTTGTTCCAAGTAGGTGCCTTAGACCACTGAGCCATCTCGCCAGTCCTAGGGTTTCTTCTTGTGGGTCTTGCATAGTTAGTTTTGCCTCCCACTTGCTTGTTATGACTTACTCTTGAGATTCTCATCTGAAGCTATAAAATTACCTCTCTCAGCTTGTTCTTTTCTTCTTTGGCCTTGGACCCTCTTTGGTGGCTCAAAGATTGCCTCTGGGGGAGATGAGGAGCAGTAATTATCTACACAAAACCTTGACTCTGACCCATTTCTTATTGAATTCTACTGACCCCACCTTGGCTAAGGACTATTGCCTGGGTCTTCCTCAGCCTTCCAGCCAACATACTTCTGTGCCCTTCCTAGCTCAACTCTGAGCTACTGAAAAGATGGTTTACCACCCCAAACATCCATTTGAGTTAATGTCCTTAGATAGCCTATGTGACTTTCAGGTCAATGACCTCCCCACGGTAATCTCAATGCAGAGGGCAGCTACTCTCCTCAAATCCTATCAAAGTAATCTTACTCAGGTTTCTTCTGCAAAACCACCCATTTGGGGCCGGGGAGATGGCTCAGTGGAATAAGCGCTTCTCTGCCAAGTGCAAGGGCCTGAGTTCAATCCCCAGTTCTGCAAAAACAAAACAAACAAACAAACAAAAAAAAAAACACCCATTTGCAGCCCAGTACTCAGTCATATGTTGCTTACACTCTAGGTGCTCCTCTGTAGAATCAGGACTCAAGGCGAGAGCCAAAGTCAAGAGTTAGGCCCATTGAAAGACTCCCTTTGCAAAGAAATCCTAAAGGTAAAGGCTTCACTGGACCATGCCAGTGTCCAGGCAAACAAAGCTGCATTCTTTAAAAACTTTGTGCAGTTTTCATAAAAACCATCTTCAGGGGGCTGGAGAGATGGCTCAGTGGAATAAGTGCTTCTCTGGTGAGCGCAAGGGCCTGAGTTCAATCCCCAGTTCCACCAAAAAAAAAAAAAAAAAATCTCCAGGTGATGGCCAAATAGCTCAGTAGATTAAAGCACCTGCAAGCAGGCGCAGGGGCTAGGGATTCAATCTCCAAGGGTGTCATGCTGGCCCCACCCCAGTACATGCTGAGACAGCAATTGAGACTGGGCGTGGTAGTGCATGCCTGTAATCCCAGCTCTTGGGAGGCTGTAAATAGGTGGATCACTAGGAGTCCGATCTAGTAGTGAGACCCTGAACACCCTGTAGACCCTTCCCTAAAATTAAAAAAAAAAAAAAAACAATCTCTGGGGCTGGTGAGATGGCTCAGTGGACTAAAACACCTACTTAGAACAAGCTTAGCAAAGCATAGGGACCACGGTTCAATCCCCCAGCACCACATGCCAGCCAGCCCCGCCCTCTGGTGGGCTGAGCTGGCCACATACACACACACACAAATAAATAAATAAAATAATTTAAAAAAAAAACAAAAAACAATCTCTGGACACAAAAGCATTGAAAAACAGGATGTCAGGATATTGCCATAGAAGACCCTTCCTTCCAACTGCATTTCTATATTCTCACGGGAAGGCCACTCTCAGCCCACAACTGGTGACTGTTTGCTGCTGCGTAGTAATGAAAATGAAACTAAACGAGTGTTAGTGGATACCAAAAACTTTTTATACATTGGGAAAATAAAAAAGGCAAGGAATCACTGCAGGCTTTTCTTCTGAGTCCTTTCAGCCCATGTGCCTAGAGGGCAGATGCGCTCATAAGGCTGGGCCTTATCTGTCTGAGAAAATAAAAACAACCTACTCATCCAAAAGTTTGTTAAAAATATTTTCCGTTTTAAGACTCGGGAACTTTGCTTCCTCTGTGGCAGTACTCATTCAAATCTTCCTGCAAACTGCAGTGGAACATGCACCCTCATTTCTCTGGCCCCAGAGATTGATAGAGCCCCTGATAACCAATTCCTTCCTGTTCCATTAATTCCCAAGACAAAAACCAAGTGAGCCATGGACTTATTCTCCCCTAGTAGGTCTGAGCACAGCACCTGGGATGGGCACTGGAGTACGAGGACTAACCACTTCCCTTTCTGTAATGAGAAGTTGAGAAATTTAACCAAAATGGCTCAGCAATTCTACATCCTAGGGTGTAAAAGACCCACCCTCAAGAGGCTCATATAAAAGGGAAACGAGGAAAAACATTTCTACTTATGTTCTGTGGAGAAGCTCCGGTCTTCTCCTCCAGGTTGGATGGCATTTCCTGGCTCCCAGCCTGGACTCTTCAGTTTCTGTTGTCCTAATTGACTCTTTATCCTTCCACTGCAGACCCATGGTCCTCCTGATATGGATTTGCACGGTACACTGCAGTGAACTCTGGACCTTGGACTGAAACCTTTGGTCTCCAGTGTGCAGACAAATCCTCTGCATACTTCCTCATCCAACTCTGTCCGTGACTATCAGAAGCCAATCTTGGGGGCTGGTGAGATGGCTCAGTGGTCTAAAGCACCTACTTAGAACAAGCTTAGCAAAGCACAGGGACCGCGGTTCAATCCCCCAGCACCACATG